GTGTCCGTATGGGCACGCGTGCGTGCGTGTCTGTGTGGGCATGCGTGCATGCGCCCGTGTCTGTGTGGGAATGCGTGCGTACGTGCGTGTCCGTATGGGCACGCGTGCGTGCGTGTCTGTGTGGGCATGCGTGCATGCGCCCGTGTCTGTGTGGGAATGCGTGCGTACGTGCGTGTCCGTATGGGCACGCGTGCGTGCGTGTCTGTGTGGGCATGCGTGCATGCGCCCGTGTCTGTGTGGGAATGCGTGCGTACGTGCGTGTCCGTATGGGCACGCGTGCGTGCGTGTCTGTGTGGGCATACGTGCGTGCGCCCATGTCTGTGTGGGAATGCGTGCGTACGTGCGTGTCCGTATGGGCACGCGTGCGTGCGTGTCTGTGTGGGCATGCGTGCGTGCGTCCGTGTCTGTGTAGGCATGCGTGCGTGCGTCCGTGTTCGTATGGGCATGCGTGCGTCGCCCGTGTTTGTGTGGGCATGCGTACGTGTCTGTATATGTGAGTCCATGCGTATCCCTTTATGCACGTGGGCGCGCGCGCATGTTCGTCCGTGCGTGCGTTCGAGCTATTAGAAGTGGTTTTGCATTCGCTAGATTTTTCAAAAGTTTTTAGAAGTTTACGCGCGCGCTTCTTCACGTGAGCTATTGTACTATATGTTGCCGTAGCACAAAAGGAGATGACCTGTTGCCCGGGCCGTGAACGGCAAAACCGTGCACTGGCGCACTACCATACGGCGAGCACACGCAATAAAAATTCAATTCGAGATACGGCCCGTCACTGTTTGACATACCTGGATCGCAGGCTGCACGCACAAAGGTCGAAGTATCGATAGATCGAATGGTTAAGGTCATCCGTGCCTTATTAATGTATGTCTAGGCCATTATTTCCGCACATTTCCTCAAGTGCGAGATCAAAGGGCGGTGTTGCATGCACCGATTAGCTAGTCTGGGCGTAGACTACGACGTTATCGATAAACGTTCATTCATCTTGTGGTGCTCACAGTCGTTCCCTTGCTTTCCACGCGGCTACGAAGTTCTGCCGGACACACTACAACCTATACCGTAATTACGCCTTTGTCTTCGAGATTCACGGACACCTAGGGAGACTACGAAGTGAGGCACTTTCCTTTGTCTTTCAACAGCGAATTCTAGTCTAGGTAATCATCATTTTTCTTGCATTTTGTTCGCGTGCTTTCACAATTAGACATCGAGTTCAGAGATTAACCGGTTCAATAAATAAACGCTGGGTCTACTGAAATCAAAAGGCTTTAATACCTAGTTGAGCTCAAAAGGCCTATATCTCTATTGTTATTCTTATGTAACATCTGTTTTACACGTGTGACATGGCTAGCTAGACAGAGCGTCATTGCTACATTGATGTATTAGAGAGAATGGTAAACGTGGGTAGTTTACAGATTAGAGGGTCACTGTGAAATTGGGGTAGGACGTAGTCTGTGAGAACGGGTACATGTGCGGGCAGTATGTTTGTAGGAGTTTGGGGGAAATAGAGAGGACAGAGATGTAGGAGGGGATTCGAGTTCTGGGCGCGGAGGTGAGCTCACGCGCGTATGCGCGTGTGCGCGTTCTTTGTCTGATGATGTGGCTACACAGTGTATGAGTATTAAAGGTTGTACAGTTTACCACATGCACGTTCTGGATCTTCTTCATCATTTCTACATGAACTCGCATTCTTGTTTACATTTTGGTTGCTCCTGACAGTCCAAAACCTGGGTATCCGTTTGCGGACACAACGCAAGTTACTTCATATCGATCTACGGGCCAGCAACGAAACAGAGAAAGAATGACGGAGAGCGAGAGAGGGAGAGAAGGACGGAAAGAGCGGGTTCTGATAATGAGATGGGAGCCATGCAGACTGCGCTAGCGCCGACGACGATGACGATGGCGACGAGGATGGACTGGAGATCGTGGAGATCGCGAAGGACCTTATACTACAAACGATTCACGAGCCACGGAGCCACGGAAGAAAACTGGAGAAGGAAGAAGAAGATTGGAGCGAGATAAAAGGAGAGCGGACGAGAGAGCAAGAGAGACAGAAGAAGAGAGAGAAGGAGAGAAGAAGCTGGAAGAAAGAAAAGGAAGAAGATATATAATGCCGTGGTAAGTGTTGCAATTTTCCTAGTATACATTTCGCTGTGCTCACGCTGTTTACTGTCGCCTGACTGCTGAGTATACTGACGATATTGCCTGTGCGGACGGTTTGTGCCACAATAGAGCGTTATAGGGTGCATACGGTATAAAGTCGCGTATACACGGTCCGAGAGAAGGACTACGGGGATTTTTGTCACAGCATATATACGCTGGGAATCCTCCACATAACGTGTCAGGGAGCACGGAATATAGATACGCTAGATGTGTAAGCACCCTAAGATACTGTACTGTACTGTAAGTGTAAGATAAGAAGGCACAGTAGATAACCGTATGATATAATATAGTTACGCACAGGTGTATAGTTGGATGCTATAGAGGGCTGGCGACGCGGTAATGGCAAGCACAGATGATGTTATTTTGGGAAAAGTGTGACGCTCAGTAGGCCTACGGCAGAGTATATTTAGTTCGGAACATGGCATATATAATGCTACTTGCGGAGCGGAACAATATTTATAATAATGAAGACCGATATAGTTGTTTCACAAAGCTTTAGCCTGACAATTGTTACTGTATGTGTGTATGTATGTTGTATGTATGATATGTATGTATGATAATTTATGTAGTATTATGTATGGTATTGTTGATGTATGTATGTATGTATGTCTGTATGTATGTATGTATTTATGGTATGTGATTATGTAGGTATGTATGTATGTAATGTATGTATGGTATGTTGGTATTGATGTTGTAGGTATTATGATGTTGTATGTATTATTATGTATGGTTATGTATGTTATGTTAGTAGTATGTATGTATGTATGTATGTATGTATGTATGTATGATATGTATGTATGTATGTATGTATGTATGTATGTATGGTTGCTATGTCTGGTTGGTATGTATGTATGTATGGTATGTTGTATGTATGTATGGTATGTATTTATGTATGTATGGGGTTGTATGATATTATGTACTGTTATGTATGTATGTAGTATGTATGCTTGTATGTAATGTGTGTACTGTGTGATGTGTGTATGTGTGTATGTGGACGTGTTATGTGTGATTGTGTATGTGTGTAGTGTGTGTGTGTGTGTGTGTGTGTGTGTGTGTGTGTGTGTGTGTGTGTGGTGTGTTGTGGTGTGTGTGTGTGTGTGTGTGTGTGTGTGTGTGTGTGTGTGTGTGTATGATGTGTATGTAGTATGTATGTATGTAATGTATGTAGTATGTATGTATGATATGTATGTTGTATGTAGTGTATGTATTAGTATGTAATGTTGTATGTATGCTCATGTATGTATAGTATGTATGGTATGTATGTATGATGTATGTATGTATGTATGTAATGTATGTATGTATGTATTGTAGTAATGTATGTATTGTATTATGTTGATGTAGTAATTATGTTGTATGTAGTATGTTATGTGATGTATGTCTGTATGTATGTCATGTAGTGTATGTATGTATGTAGTTGTGTATGTATGTATGTAGTATGTATGCTATGTAATGTATGTATGTAGGGTATGGATGTATGTATGTATGGTAGTATGTATGTATTTGTATTATGTATGTATGTATGTATGTATGTATGTATGTATGTAGTATGTATGTAGTTATGGTAGTTGATGTATGTATGTATTATGGTTATGTATGCTATGGATGTATGTCGTATGTAGTGTATGTAATTTGTATGTATGTAAGTATGGTATGTATGTATGGTATCTATTTGTATGTTGTATGGTATTATGTATGTTGATTGTATGTATGTAGTAGTATGATGTATGTATGTATGTATGTTATGTAAGTATGTATGTATGTATGTATGTAGTGATGTATGTATGTATGTATGTATGTATGTATAGTATGTATGGTAGGTAGTATGTATTATGTATGTATGTTGGATGTATGTATGTATTATGTTTAATGTAATGTATGATATGATATGATGTATGTATGTATGTATTATTATGTATGTATGTATTTGTATGTGTATGTATGTAGATGTATGTATGTATGTATGTAGATGTATTGATGGTATGTATGTATGAGTAGTGGTATTGTATGTATGTATGATTGTATGTATGTAGGTTTAATGGTTTGTTTATGTACCGTATTTGTTCATGATATAGCGTGTGACCGTTTTTTTTTTTGTGTGAAAATTTTTTCATGAACACTTTGTTTCAAGAAATTGTTGATAGTATATTACTTGAATTGTGCTAACAGTGGCTGGTACGTTTTCCACTATATTGTCAGAACGCGCTATAACAAGTTTTCAATTAGAGTTTGATTATAAGGCCAAAACCATGTTATCGAACATATGAAATCATTTTTTGGCGTATTTTGGTTGGCGTATGATGTAAGATGTATGATGTGTGGAAAGATGACAAGTACACATCAGTCTGTGTTTATTAATGCTTCGCATGGGAACGAATGCTATAGTCATACGGGGTCGGTTGGTCTACGGGTCGTGTCCACGGGTCGTGGTCCTGACGGGTCGTTGGTCTACGGTTAGTAGTAAGAGGGGTAGGAGTGAAAGTGTTTTTTTTTAGAAAGTCGGCATTGGTTTAATTTTTAATTTTTATTGTTTTATTTAATTTTTTAATTATTTAAAAATTTTTAATTGTTTTTTTACATTTTTCTTTTAAATGTTTCTTTAAAATTTTTTTTTTTTACTATTTTATTTGTATGTGGTTCACTATTGATTGAGTTGCACAGACAGGAGTGAAGAGTGAGGAAGACATAATTCGTTAAACATTTAGTGTCATTCCCCCTCGAGACTTATCAAAAATTTCAATTACCCACGACTAAATTCGCTTATGTTTATTTGTCTATTTCAATTCCCTCAAAATACATTGTATTCAGCTTGGGTGAACCCTACCACATTAAGAAATAAGTTTAAAGACTGTGGTACAAGATGTGGTACACTACAAGACTGTGGTAGCAAGACTGTGGAAAGCCTGAGTACACTACACAGGCAAGTGCCAGCGGCTGTGTAAATACACTGTGTATATGTTTTTACAGTATAATATTTTTATTGTTAGTATTCATTTATTATAAGTTATGTGCCTCAGCGATTATTTGTATCGTGCCCGTAGGACTTGGTCGTGGGTTATTTAAAATTTTAAAAAATTAATGCAGAAATAAAATTAAATATTTTTTTTAATTGAAATTGATTAAAAACAAAATTAAATTTAGAAATTAAATTATGAAAAAAAATTTAATTTAATTAAGAAATTAAATTGAACCAACATATAAGAAAAAATTACGTGTGCTGCGTGCAACGCGTAGGACAACGGCCTTAGGACCAAGACGACTAGGACGCAGCGCCGTAGAGCAAACGACCGTAGGACCAACGACCGTAGGACTGAAGACGTAATCGTTGGCATGGGCCCCTGTGGTGGACTGGGATCTGAGAAATATAATCCAGATATAAGTGGTTTCGGTAATGCGTGTCTGTATAGGCATACGCAGTACGTTACAGCCATAAAAATACGCAAGAGTGAGAGTAATTGGAGCGATATCAGATGTCATTGCAAAGTGTGTTGAGTTTCTGACTTATTGTGATAGAATTTATCGTTACTTGTTTCTATGCTTCATATGTGTTTTCGTATTGTAAATTGATTGTGTTATGTTTGTGGTATTGATTGTGGGGTGTTTAATCGGACAGAAGACGTTCCTCATTGGGTTGAGTTGGAAGATACTAGGGTAGTATTTTTTGGAATTGAGTTAGAGTTCAGGTTCAAGTATAGAGCAGCGAGGACGCTGAGTCGATGACTACCCTAAGTCATCGTTTTTGGGAAAAGGCGAGAAATGTAACATTCGTTTTTACACGTGTACATGGTAGCTAGACAGAGCGATCATTGCTACATTTGATGTATTGAAGAGAATGGTAAACGTGGGTAGGTTACGATTAGTAGGGTACTGTGAAATTGGGGAAGAGCGTAGTTGTGAGAACGGGTAATGTGCGGAGCTAGTACTGTTTGTTAGGAGTTTGGGGAAATAGAGCACGACAGAGATGTAGGAGGGGATATCGGTTCTGGGCGCGGAGGTGATCTCTGCGCGTATGCGCGTGTGCGCGTTTTGGAGTCTTTGTGGATCGTGGCTAGCAGTGTACATTAATAAAGTTTATTCGGGTTACTACAAAGTTTTGACTTATTCATCATTCCTGTTTCACTTAGAATAGTAAATAAATTAGAATAGTTAGAAAACCTCATACATTTGAACCTACCCACCGACTGACTCTAACCAGAATACCAGTAAATCCTATATTTTTTGTACTAATGAACAAGCCGTCTTTCGCAGTATTGCGATTGTGCGACAATATAACATTTTTCCTTCTCTCTGTGAATTTCGTTTCATATTGGTTTTTTATTTCGTTTTTATCAGCGACGAATGCGGTGATGTTGCGGATAAGTAGAGAGTTGACGCGAGGCTTGGGCGTGGTTTGGTCGGTGCTCTTTATCGCACAGAGCTCACATGATGTGTTCACTGGTCGTCGGCGTCTTCTTCGTTATCTTTCTAGAGAATTTAAGCAGAGCAGTTCGTCACGGCCTGGATTAGTTAATATAACAGCGGTGCAGTGCAACGCGTGGTGTCAAATAAATGCTGTCAGGTGGATATACGGTCTGGACACGAGTGTCTCGCGTCAGTTCCTGGTGGATGTGTCGGTTATTAAGACTCATCAGTCATCTATGTTATGGACGAATTATGCAATATATAGCTATTTACTAATGATTTTAACTGCATCTAGAATATGCCACCACAATACAGTTTATATAGTGGCATCTCGCTGTATATCTAATGTGTTTTATTATGCACACTTGCCTACTGGTATAACCCCATAACCATACACACATTTTATCTTACCTGTTTATGCTACGTTTAATACTGTTAGTTTACATGAGGACGTTTAATGGGGTTACCCGTCCCCATATAACCTCACATGTAGCCCATTTTGTGAGTTTGCCGGCTAGGCCTTCGTAGCACTGAGAGACTGGACACTTTTATTGTGTTCACAAATAAATATTTCACGCACATGATAGTACTCTAATAGTATAATCTAGGCATCGCAATCAAACGCAATAGGCCGAAGTGCATTCCATGCAGCTTTCAACGTTAGAATCACCTAGCACACCGTATTGATATTGTGGCCTAAAAAGCAATAGAAGCGATGGAGTAGAAAAACAAGAGAGAAATAGAAAGAAAGATTGAAATAGTCAGTCACCTGTTTCATCCCCCACCCACCTCCACACCACACAGTTTCCAGCTATAGCGTTTCTTCATGATTGTGAGTAACTTTATTCGAGGACCGAAGATAAATCTCGGCGTCACCAATACAAGACAGATGCCTGCCAAGTACTCGCACAATCAAGACGCAAAAATACGGGTGGGCTGAGTATGGAGAAAATCAGTCCTCTAATCAAATCAGTGAACTGACTCGTGTTGCCAGGATGATATCCAAATCTATACGTCGCAACGAGTCAATATTCGCCCAGCACAGATTATCAGACTACAGGCGTAGCCAGCGGGGGGTTCGGGGGGTGAATCGAACCCCGCGAGACCCTCCTCCCCGCAAGCAAAAATTGGGTTTTTTTTTTTTTTAAATTTGCAAAGAATTTTTCACTTCGGTCGCTTATTTTAGTGTAATAATTGCAAAATCTCGCATCGGTGCGGGGAGGTGAAAGTGCAACACCCCCTCCCACACCTCCCCGCGCTCGGTCGTCTTGGCTCTCCGTCCTGTCGCTTCGCGCCGCGAGCAGGGCGTAGCAGGAGGGTCCAGGGTCGGTCCACCTCCTTGCTCGCGCGTAAACGCTCGAAGGGGGTGTAATTAGAAAAAATTTAAGACCCCCTTCGCGTTGCTCGCAAACTTATGGTTACGGTTAGACCATCTGGTACAAATCCTGTACACGCCCTGCCGAGGCAAATTGCAACATTGAAACGAACCCCCACCCAATAGAAAGCCTGGCTATGAGGCCCTAGCTAACGTAAGAGCGCTCGGGAGCACAGACGTCGCCAAGGCTAGCTGAATATCTCTCAGTCGCTGCGTCTTGTTTTATTAATTAGATTAATTAAGTGGAATAACTTAATTAATTAAATTAACTAATTAATTGGATCGGATCATAGTGCGAGCGTGCAGGTCGGGGGAGGACTAGGTGCCCCTTAGCCTGTGGTTGGTGTTTGTAAGTCTACAGCCAGCGCACCTGACGGAAGTGAACTGAAACGTGCATGTTCACAAACCACAACAACACTCAACACACGCCGGTGAAAACATAATCCGCCAAGCCCCTGGCGGAGGTAATAAAGATGATGAAATCCACGCCCGCCTGGGATGGAAACGCGAGTGCACTGTAATGGCGTTTAATTGCTCATTCAGGACCTCTGTCAAGTATTCTTACTAATCGCTTTGGATGCCGGACTGTCATGATTGTCGGTTCTCTGATCGCCAGTACCGGACTCATAGCCAGTAGCTTTGCCACGTCTATATTCTATCTCTACTTCAGCTTTGGAATGGTATTAGGTGAGAGGAAACACGTGAGTTTATTAAAAGTGTTTGCATAGTGAGCCAATGTGGGAAAAGGCAAGAGAGATTCTGGGAGATGAGAGAGGGGGACGGCGAGAGAGAAAGAGAGAGAGAGAGAGAGAGAGAGAGAGAGAGAGAGAGAGAGAGAGAGAGAGAGAAAGTGAGAGACAGTGACATATATAGAGAGAGGCGGGGTAGGGAAAAGAGAAAGAGATACTTTGGTTACATATTGCTCCTGTTTTTTTTTGACAGGTACAGGACTGGGAATTGCCTTCATTCCTTGTATTGTAGCCGTCTCAGAGTACTTTGATACAAAGCGAGCACTCGCCATGGGCCTCGCTGTGTCCGGTATGGGCTTCGGCATCCTCATCTATCCGATTCTCATCCAGCATCTGCTGCAGGTGTTTACCTGGCGTCAGGTGATGTTCATCACGGGTGCCCTTATACTTAACGTGATCCCGTGCGCCGCCGTCATACATCCACTCGTGTTACACGATGACGATGCCAGCGACAACCACAAGAAACTGCCGTCAGTATCCGTATTCGAGAAAAAGTTTATAAGAATCTGCGCAAATAACTTGCTTATTGCATTCGGGCTGTCGGTCGTCTACGTGCACATGCCTGCCTATGCTAGGAGCCATGGCACCAATCAGGAGGTCGCCGTTATGCTCATATCCGTGAACGGCGTAGCGAACTTTTTCGGTAGAATTGCGTACGGATTCATGGCGCAATACTTGCGATGGACTCCTGAACAATTTTATAACGCGTCGTTCATGACGGCTGGAATACTCACGCTGCTGCTTCCGATGTGTACTCAACTGTACTTCATGTTGCTGTACTGCGCATTAATTGGGTTTCTGAGCGCCAGTTGGGGAGCTTTGCTACCAGCAATCCTAGTTGATGCCATTGGAAAATTCAGGATGGCCAGCGGATATGGATTCGTGATGGTGTATGAGGCAGTCGGTATAATGCTTGGAGGCCCCGTAGCAGGTACTAGAGTGCATGTTGTAAGAACTATATAATATATCCTAAATATAACATAACATCAGGAGTGAATAATAGAAGTTATCTCTATTATTCACTCCTGATAACATGTCCATTCGTTATTATACGACGCTAGGCTGTCAAAATGGCACAACAGCGGAAAAGACAGTTCTATTATAAATAATAAATGCTGTTTCCGGAATCAGTTATAAAAAGTATATTATGTATTGTGCCCAGAGTGGCACCTAGAAGTAATTTTTTTTAAATTGATATGGCGTCAATGCAGTATTAATCCCGTAGTGTGGAAAAGGAGTAAATAGTGGAAAAGAGAAGGAGAGCGGGACAGAGAGGAAATAGATAGATAGAGAGAGAGGGAGAGAGAGAGAGAGAGAGAGAGAGAGAGAGAGAGAGAGAGAGAGAGAGGAGATAGATAGATAGAGAGATAGAGAGAGAGGGAGAGGGCGAGAGAGAGAGAGAGAGAGAGAGAGAGAGAGAGAGAAAGAGAAGAGAGGCAGAGAGGCAAAGACGAGGGACACAAAGAGAGAGAGAGAGAGAGAGAGAAAGAGAGGCGTATATATAGAAGAGAGAAGAGGTAGAGAGGAAAGAAGAGAGAGGAGAGGGGGAGGAGAGGTCAGAGGAGAGACAATGAGAGAGAGAAGGGGAATGGAGCAAAAAATAGAGAAAATGGATCAGATGCGTATAAGTGTCTTTATCGATCATTGAGACAAATAGTATAACTAGATATTTTTGTGACAGGATGGATATACGATTATACTGGAGCCTACGCTATCTCCTTCTACTTCGCTGGACTGACCTTCACTGTTGGCGTCCTAGTAATGTGGATTCCAGGATTTAGTGGCAGATGTAACCCAAGGAAAAACAAAGTCTATCTCAGCGACATATCCATTTCAGCCTATAATGAGCACTACCTAAAGAAGATAGGCAATGAAGACCAGAAACCAGGTAATATCAAATTACCAATGATAACAAACGTATAAATTGAATAGAATGTTACACAACGTTACAAAATATTATTGGAAGATATATCCTTTTAGATAATTTGCATTTTATAATATAAACCATATTACCAGCTTACGTCTGTCTACTAAACACTGTAAATACAAGAATATATGTATTTAGAATTAATGGTCACCCTAGTTATATATTTTTATAATATATATATATATATATATATATATATATATATATATATATAGGTGTGTTAAAAAGTGAATCGAACTGCTCGCTACCCTGGGGTCGTCTGGCTAGGGATAGCCTCACGTTGATTCCATGCTGGCAGGGTTATTGTGATAGTCTTCTATCCATCCCGGTATTTCGACCCGTAGGTTGAGTCCGTATGGTTGGATGGTGTTTAGATTGTGGATCCAATAGGCTTCTCTTTTCTTTCTGATGCGGATCGTGTGTGGATGTTCGGGGGGGTCCGAGAATATTTTTTCAATGCCCCGGCACTGAAAATCCGCTGCGGTGTGGTTGTCGCGTGTAAAATGAGCACTGACGGGTCTGCTCATGTCTCGTTTGGTAATGTCACGGAGGTGTTCAACGCTCTCTTCCAAACGAGATTTGTGAGTCTCGTACCTTTGAAGCTTATCCTTCAGGTTGCGCAGTGTGCGGAACACAGGCTCAGCTTCTTTGGGTACTCGTAACCCTGGTGCGTTTTTGTTGATATTGATCTGGATTGGAGATGTTGCAGCGTCTATCATTATAGGGGTGTCAGTTGGGTGGACCCCTATAACTTTGCGCGGCTGCATGACTGGCGAGTCTTCTGTAGTTCTTCTTCTCTTCTTGTCGTGTTGCTGCGAAGAAGCAGGGATATTACACGCGACCTCCTCTTTGTTTCGGGGGGAGGATAAGTCTAAATCCATGAGTGTGGCGATAAGGGTGCTGCTGTACCCGGATCCATAGGATGCTGGGCCGTCCTGGTCTGGCGAATTTAAGGACATATGTGTAGAAGAGGCCTGGACAGCCTCTACGAGGCACAGCTCGACTGAGCTACCCCACGGGGATTTAGCTTGATGGTTTGTTGTTGCCATTATAAATGTATATAAAAAAAAGTTTCGTTTAAGAAATTGCTACACGAAACTTTTTTTATATACATTTATAATGGCAACAACAAACCATCAAGCTAAATCCCCGTGGGGTAGCTCAGTCGAGCTGTGCCTCGTAGAGGCTGTCCAGGCCTCTTCTACACATATGTCCATATATATTATGTGTACTACCAGGTGACTACATACAGTGTCAGTAGTGAATACTAGTAGTAGGGCCGCCGCTCGCGGAGGCAAAAGGGGCAGTTTTTCCTAGACCAACGATAATATCAGGAGTGAATAATAGAGACTAGAGATTATTAATTAGAATCTCTATTATTCACTCCTGATAATATCAAGAGCGTATAAAGAAGGAAAGCGTACAACGGTGAAATGCTGAAACCATGTTGCAGTATTAGTCGAATTAAGAAACTTTTCCCGTTTTCTTTTGACGATTCTTTGCGGTATTATTGATCAGCTGTCCTACCTTGCTAATATAAAACAAACCGCTTGTCCCTACGATGCCCCTACGCTGAGATAATGAGCGGTGACAATCTGGTATTTTTGCCGAAAACGTTGTACGCTGATAATATCAAGAGTAGATAATAGAGACATCGTTATTATCTACTCTTGATAATATCATTCCATCGACAAACTGCTCATGTTCAAACACACGTTGCTTTGGCCCCGGGAAAAAATGAGTTCACTATATACACAGTTATAGATAGTTATCATGATGGTAGTGGTAGCACGCTGATGGTACGAGACAGAGACATGGACCATTTCAAAAATGAAACGATAGTAAATAAGACGTGGAGTGTTTTCTGTATTGTGTGTGTGTATCTTTCTGTAAGATTGTGCGTATAAGTGGTGTGTATAAGCACGGGCACTTGGAACGTTTCAATGATGGTAAATAAATACTACCAAAATCTTAATGTTTCTCTACTCTCTTTCGCCCATTATTACCGATAATTTCTTGTAAATGCCATTCAAATGCTCCTCTACAACACACAAGTATACACAGCACGAACGCCGCTGTGCCCAAACAGCAAAAATACGTAGTTAGTTTGTAGCCTAAAAATCCAATAAAGTGTCACTGTCAGTCTAACCATCTAACCGACCACACCACCACCACCACCACCGACACCACCACAACCACCTGTGTCTCATCTGGATGCTGGTAGGGAGGGGAGATTTCTTACATGGCTACCTGTAGCAGGACATCTTTGCAGTCACGGCATGCCCGTATAATTAATTAGACGCGTAACACACGCACACGCACGCACGCACGCACGCACGCGACGCAACGGCGGACGACGACACACACACGCACACACACACACAACAACACACACACACACAACTCACACACACACACGTATAAGCAAAATACTTTCAGTACTCTTTGGTATAAAATGAAAGTGTCAATGACACTGTAGCTCACCACAAAAAAAGGACACAAATGAGTGAGTAAAGAAGAAGTCAGTTAATTGAGCAACCATCGACGTACATTATTAGAAACGATTGCCATCTGTATATCGACATAATAATATTATATAACCAAAACGAATCACAATTTGTGACCGTAGATGGCGCTATACCCGCTTTGTAGCGATGGCGTTTGAAATAAATAGGTTATGCTGCGTTCCGACATGTTTTGTAAATCTTTACTCTAATATAGACGTTTTATCGCAGGGTGGAGAGGCAATACCAATTTTTGCATTAAAGATATTGTCAATGAAATCTTGTAAAACGAACCAGACGAGTGTGACCACACAGACTGTTTGTGTCTATATAATATGCTATAATAATTGCCAAACCTACCTAATTTGCATAATTTTTTTTAAATATCAAAACCCCTAGCCCTTATTCATTCAGCATACCAAAAATGAGCAAAATCCGTTGAACCTGAACTGACTAATGCAATTCCCATTTTTTCCAAAAAATTGCCGTGGCTGCTGAAATTACGTCGACTGGCTAGACCGAATAATTCTGTCCGCATATAACCTTTTTTATATTTTGGTGAGGTTTATATTGGGCCAATATATATATTGGCCAATATAACCCTCACCAAAATTAAAAGGTTAATATGGGACAGAATTTTCGGTCTAGTCGACTGGCGTGCTTCAAAATAGGACGTTTTAATATGGGAGCATAGCAGTAACAACTATACCCAATTTCAAACATGTGGGCCAAACGGTTCCTGAGTTATCGTTGACTGAAGCGAAATGTTGATAGGGGACGGACGGACGACGGAACGTACGACGGACGACGACCCATGGCCAATAGCTCAGCTTGACGATGTCAAGGTGCAGCTAAAAATTACTATAAAACTCTATAAAAGACAGATGAATGAAATTACTAATATTTGCGTGATGACACTGAATTTTAATTGCCAATAGCATAACTACACGAATGTTGGAACTAGAGCCGCTATTCAATGCATTTGTATTATATTGGATTTTTATTATAATATCAAAAGTAAGTAGGCCCCCTACGCACGCACACAGACACGCATATATATCATATGTATACACATACACATAAATACTTTCAGTAGGGGCCTACTCATTGGTAGAAAAAATGATGAGTACCGTATTTGGCAAATACTCATGGAAAACTACCCGGTACTCATACATTTGAAAATTGATGAGTAAATACTCCTCCAATCCAAAAATTATCTGAAGCACTGGAGTACCGCTACATAAATTGAACAACTTCAACAAGGGCAGCATCGCCTCAACTAAAACAATTTAGTTAATCATTGCTTGGGGCCGTAAATATTCGCGCATGCCCTGAGCAGCTGGGACGCGGTCATCTCCTGGGCAGCATATTTCGTCTAGAATTGATTCAAAGATTCAAGATTCAAAGATGTTTATTTGTGCATAAGTCGTGTATATACAGTTTACAGCGGCAAATAGGAAATAATTATACAAGTCATAGTTAATATCTAGCTTACAAAGGAAGCACAGGAGTGGCGAAAGAACCAGCAGGTCATCAAAGTCTGCACCCCTCAAAAGAAAATGTAATACTAATAGTAGGCAGATGGGTCATTATTATAATATACTTGGTTGCTACAGTGGATGGTAAGCATCAGAAACCGCAAAAGCATGACAGAAAGATGAGCAAAATAATCAAAACATATGAACAAAAAACTAAACAAAAATGAACAAACGGAATGAGCAGAACAAAACAGGTAGAGCTCTAATTTACATCTGTACAAAATAATGTATGGGCAATAGGCGTAATAAACAGCAGTTTATATATATTATATATATATATATATATATATATAATATATATATATATATATATATGTATATATATATATACACACACACACACACGTTTACCTATATAAATAGGCGCAATAGATATAATAGTTATACTATACATAGATATACATAGATTATTACGAGAGTACACACAGATTTGATGAAGCCTGCCCTGGAGATTCTTCGTTCGGTTGCGCTGGTCACGCACGGTCTGCTCTTCACCCACCACTGTAAATCTACAAGCTGTGACTCGCTTCGCAGGAGTGGTATCAGTTTGTAGAATGTTAGTTTTTAATAGGTGTTAATACGGGTGTGCCATCCTGAAATAAAAGTGTCAATGGCACTGTAGCTCACCTTGGGTGTGATAGAAGAGGGAGGTGGGATATATAAAGCAAGAGTATATATGGGAGATCTCCCATACATACTCTTGATAATGATATATGCATAAGTTTCTGAAAGTCTGAAACCTTGACGAGAGATGGCGCTACGCCTAAGTGATCGCCAGTTTGGTTTTCAAATATCGCGCAAATAAAAACAATAAAATATTCCAGTCAAATTACTGTAACGAAGAATTTAAAACACAATATTACACGCATATAGGTATGATTGTAGAGTTGTTGACCAGTTAGACGAAATAAACGTAATAGGACGTTGTCATCTCTCCCATAGGAGTAACTACTGTTTTGGTGCTAGCTAATTTACACATTCACCTACCAAAATTTAACAAAATCGAATGAATTTAGATGGACATTTTGATTTTTGCCAAAAAGTGGGCGTGGCTCGAAAGTAGGTCAACTGGCGTGCTCCAAAATAGGAAGTTAAAATCTCTCTCATAGGAGTAACAACTTTATTAAATTTGAAACATGTGGGTCAAACGGTTCTTGAGTTATCGTTGACCGTAGACAGACACTGAAATGCATAGTGAAATTGCCAAAATCTACCTAATTTGCATAATAAATGAAAAAAATCTAAACCTGTGTGATATGTTTTGGGGCCAGTCCTTATTTATTCACATACTAGCAATGAGCAAAATCCGTTAAACCTGAATTGACTTATGGCCATTTCCATTTTTTGCCAAAAAGTGGACGTGGCTCGAATGTAGGTCGACTGGCGTGCTCCAAAATAGAACGTTGAAACCTCTCCCCTAGGAGTAACAACTATATGCAATTTGAAACATATGTGGGTCAAACAGTTCTTGAGTTATCATTGACCGTAGCCAAATGTTGACGGACGTACGACGGACGACACCCCATGGCAATAGCTCATCTTGACGATGTCAAGGTGAGCTAAAAATTTAATGATTATAAATGGATTCTATGCAAATCTATACAGACCACTCTAGAAATGTCTAAGACGTTCAGTAGGGGTAAATTTTGGTGCTGAATGTCATGGGCACATTGGATTTGACCTCCGAGGTCATCTAAGACAAAAAATGGAAAAAATATACTGGCCCTTGCACATGCATGGGCGTAAATCCCGAAGGGGA